TGCTTAACGGAGAAGTTAATTTTTATAATTAGCTACAGTTTAAAAAAAGGAAAAGACATTTTTCTTATTCGTGCTACTTTAATAAAATATTTCCATCCCATCAGCGTATCACAATCCGTTCTCCATCGACGCACACAACGTGCAGCTTTCGAGAGAGGACGCCATTCCTGCAATAGTGTTTGACACTGATGTTCTGTTCTCCAGAATTTAAAGCAAAACCACACACATCAGTATGTCTAGATTGTATCTAGCATATAACGTGTAATACATAATTAAATTGATTATATTATTTGAACATTATCACAATGTACAGAGCCAATCATTTTAAGTCCCAGCAGTCGTACACTGTGTGCTCCTGAATTCATGTTTCTTTTCACATCGCTTGTAGTTACAGTTATTTTAGCATATTAACGACGTCATCGGTGCGCTGTTCTTTGGTCAGGTGGTTTTGCAATGATTCACACTAATGCCATCTTCTCAAACGCCTCCACAATGTTATACCGACAAACTCTAAAATTTCGTATACAGTGAGAAGACTGGCACCTAGACATAGTCCCAACTCACCTCCAGTAGCACCTGCAAATAGCAGTGGAATAAAACCAAATATATTCTCTTTTATTCTCTGTCTGCATGAAAGCAATTGTACCATACAAATATAACAACAACAAAAATAAATAGGGTTATTTATCACATAGTGGGATAGTTGGTGTCATAGATGATGTATTATGAGTGAACATGTAATATCGTATTCATTAAACGTGTGTAGTAATTTCCATTATATTCCAAACCTTTGGCAAAGAACATATGAAAATTACTAAACACGAGTTTGAAACATAGGATATACACGGTCACGCATTTTGCTATTATATTTATCACATGCATACATGCAAACAGAGATCGAATGCAGGGAAGTATAAGTATATATTGAGAACATTCAGATTGGTCATATTTCAAACATTTTTTACAAAAATGTGTCTAGCCATTACACGAGCTGTGTTTTAGCATTTTATGAAACGATTAGTTGGTGACTTTCAAATCGTGTCCCAGAACTAAACACTGCTGAGAGAGTGTGATATGGAAATCATTACATGACTTGATGTCATTGTTATTGCATGGTACATATAATAGTAGTTTATTCCTGTTTCAAATTTTGCCATAAAATGTACACGTATGAGTTACCGCTATGTATACATCTCCATGCGCTTAATAAAGCAGAGTTAGGCCACACCAACTTAATTTTATGGATGACATCCATTTTCGCCTGTTCTCAAAAAAAAAAAAAAATAAATAAAATAAAAAAAAAATCTCGGACGACGAGTCTCCACAGATCGGTTTTCTGCCCGGAACTTGCCGACTCATATTGTCATAAAGCGCCGGCTTGTCGTAAAACTAGTTTTGAACTACCTCAAAACGTGCCAATTTTGTCGTAAATTATCCCAACATGGCGACCACGCCACCAAAATACGTGAGCATAAAAGTTCAGAGGAAAAACGGAGGGATTGTTGTAGACTGGTACGCAATTGACGTCGGCAAGGGAGATCTGAAGTTTACACAGCTATACGAGAGATTTGTAGCGGCAAGCGAGTTTCGCCCAGACAACTTTAAGAACATATTGTCCAGAGTGGCTGTCCCGCGTTTCTTCTGCAACGACGAGAGAAATGGGAGAGAAGTGGGGGTGTATGGTAGCCTAAAAGTTGGTCAGACAACAAGTCAGTTCGGTTGCTTTGTCCGCATTGAAGTCGACAAAACTGCAACGAAACAGAGGAAGCTCCTCGCCGAAGTCCGCTTTCGAGGTGAAGAAAATTTTCTTCTTATTTTTTTTCATTTCCTGATTCGGATAATTTGCTTGCACACACAGTGCAATGTTTTGTTAGTTATTGTCATAAAGTAGTGATATGTACATTCCGCCTTGACTTGTACTGAAAATTGTGTTCATGCTGTACCTTGAATGCAGTGTTTCTGACTGAAGGTACTTCATTATGACTACATGTACTAGAGCTTGTTTGAAATGGTTTTACCTGTGACAGTAATACAGTACGAGATGTGTAAATCAACATGTGTCTCCTACAAATAAAGACTTCTTGTTGTTTTTTTGATACACTCCGTGGTTCAATTTGTAATACCAGCTCTGTAGTCCTGTGGTTTTAGCAGCATTTTTTTTTGGCAGGATTTTTTTTCGCCCTCTCGCATTAGTTTTGTAGTCTCCTGAGGATGCGATCCATGAAATTATATCAGTGTGGCCTTAGTTTGAAATTTAGATATATTTTGTCTTCAATTACTTTTACATAAATGCTCATTATCAGTGAGGTATGGAACAGTCGTCATAACGTATAATACGTACTGTAATATTGATGACGTCATTGTCTTGTGCCCTGGCATCATCAATATTATAAAATAACTCACCAATCAACTCAGAAATTGGGTACCCATCTTCCTGATAAATTTCCTCCAAACTTATTTCTTCAAAGTAAATCTTCACGTCAACTACATTCTCTCTTTAAATGAGACAACAATATTTTAAACGTGTTGACACACAACTGTTTTCACACAAAATATAAACAATGGAAAACCCACACTTCCACATGCGTTGTTTCTATGTGATGTATATGTGCCCTGTGGTGTTTACTGGGACGATAATTGCGTGGTTTATGATAACAACATTGGATAAACATTCTTGTGAGCAGAAGCAATTAAGGTGGAGATTGATAGAGCGTATCCAGTTTGTCGTGATAGATGTAGTCATACTATGAACTGACTGCGATTACAGGTGTTAACACACGCATGCACAATATACTTGGCCAACATGCTGATGATATATGTGCTTATATAATTACATTCAAACTCATCTACGAGTAAATGGGAGCTTGGTGCCGTACAGTCAATTGTGTGATTTTCAGGCTAAGCTGTTTGAAAACAAATCATCTTAGTTGGCAAGACTTGAAAGTTGTG